ATCGCTCTCTGGGCTCAGAGCCTCGCGTGCTCGCGCAGAGACCCGGCGCCCCCTACAATCCCAGGCCGCCGAAGCAAGAGGCGCTTCGGGGGCCCTTGGGAGCTTCAGCCCCCTTCGGTTTGCTTGGAGTTCAGGCAGCTCTCAGTGAGACAGCGAGGCAGGACAGAAACCTCCGGTCCTTGCAAATAAAGCGTTCGGGAAGGCGGAACTGGAAAGTTAATGTTTGGAGGGCGATGAGGTGGTTCTTTTCAAGTTGCTTGGGATGTTTTCCCAGCCCGGTTTCGTGCAGTGAAGTTGCACTTGGACCCCAGATCTACGGCCCCAAATGCTGCGACTTCTGTTTGCCGCTCGGCACCTGCTAATCCCCAAGACGCCCGCCGCGCCGGGGTCGGGGTTGGGGTCGGGGGTGAATTGGTACTTCTGGTGCTACTAATTTTCACTATTCGTTTTACTGAATACACTGCTGGTGAAAAAAAATAAGTCGGCATTTGGGTCTTTGAATTAACTGTATTTTTCATATTTACGAATGATGATATTACTGTAAAATACGTTGACATTTAAGGATTTTGGTCAAGTACATATAGGACTGTTAGCTCAAGCTAGATTTTTTTAATGCTTTTAGAACAGATTTAAACATTTTTGTATTATACTTTAATTGTTGGGATGAGGTGAGCAGAAGAAATGCTGTTATTTAACGTAGCATGTGCTGTGAAAACCAGGTTGGTAAACCAGGGATCACTTTCTTGAAGAAAATAGGTAACAATCTATTACTAAATGTTTTGTAACTTTTCTTGTGATTGTGACTGATATTTTATCCTTGAAGTTTCAATCCTAGAGTCACACTTAGAATTCATGTCAGAAACATAAAGCTTAAATTCATGACTGGACTTGAAACATACTTTAAAAAAATTTACAAGCTCTCATTCTAAAAACAGTTCGTTAATTCAAAGTCTTTTCTATTTTATATTCGTAAATTATAGTTAAAATTTGTCAATTTTGTGATTGTTTATTACAGTGATTGCTTTGCTTCTTGTGATGGTTTGTATTTGTCATAGACAGTGCTAAAGAAGGTTGGATAAAATTTTTTTGTTTTTTTAAAGTAGTGTCTTTCTTAGACCTATAATCAGTGAGTGGCATGACCCAACAAAAAGTTTTGTTGGGAAAAACAATATGAAACTTTATTTTATTTTTAAAACTTGAGATGCATTTCTTTGAAATGAAATTTGAGAAAAAATTTTTGTTGTGTACACAGGAAAAGGAAGATGTTTTGCCGTCTTTTCAGGAAAAGGATGGGAGTGGAATGGACAAGGATGCTCTCTATGTAAAGATCACATTCATTTTGTGTTCTCTGTGTGTGTGCTCTGTCTAGTTCTGTGTTCCCTGGGCTATCAGCACAATTGTTCCTCAAGCCAGAGGCAGAGAAATCCTCTTTGCTTCTCCTACACCCCTATACCCCCCCATCCAATTTATCGCCATGTCTTGTCAATTTTACCTTTGATTACCCTACTAATATCCTAGTCTAAGCTGTCTTGTACCGGGCACACTCTAGGTGGAGGTAGACATTACTGAACAAAACAGACACAATTCTTGCTCTCATGGTGATTTCAGGCTGGCAGAGAGTCAGAGACAGATTACCAACCAAAGTAAGGTAGAAGGAAGAAAAGAACAGGGTGTTGTGATGGAGGAATAATTGAGGGTAGAGAGAGGCACTTAGCTTACTTTAGATAAGGTCCTGGAGCAAGACCTATCTAAAAAGGTGAAACCAAAGCTGAGATATGAAGAGTGGCAAGGAGCCAGAAGGTGGTAAGTGGGAGAAGCGGTCTAGCATAGAATAGCCAGTGCAAAGGCCCTGAGGCAAGGAAGAGTTTGACTTATCTTAGGACTCATTAGCGGGGAAGTCAGGCAGGAGAAATTGACAGAAATCAAATCACACAGAGCCCTGCGGACTCAGGCAAATGGTTTGGATTTGCTGTGAGTAGAGAGAAACCAGGCAGAAGCCTGAATTGGGAACATAGAGACTGAGGTATTCACCTCAGCTGGGTGAACCTAAACTCTTAACCTTTCCCAGCCTTGCTATCATTATCCCCAGATGAAGATTCTAACTGCTAGAGTGGTGTTGAGGGTTAAATGAGAACATTACTCAACACTTAACGCACCTGGAACAATAAGGCTTACTGCGTGGTAACTTAAAAAAGAATATATTCGTAGTAGAATGCATGCTTAGCGTGCATACCTGGGTTCAGTCCTCAGTACCTTCATTAAAAATAAATAAATAAACCTAACTGCCTCCCCCTCTCCAAAAACCCACAAACAACAAAAAACAGTTTAAAAAAAAAAGAAAAAGAATATATTCAGCTTAAGTGTTAAATTTCAAATGCTGTCTTCCCATTTAAGTCAATATTAAGAATAAGTGTAATTTTAGGCTGTATATAGTAAAATGACTCATTAAAATAATATTGTATATTGTAATTTAGCCTGTAATTGGGCTGGATTCTTTTTTTTTTTTTTTGGCTAGTTATTATTTTCTATTTCTTTTTTTTATTTTTTAATGGAGATACTGGGGATTGAACCCAGGACCTTGTGCATGCTAAGCATGCACTCTACCACTGAGCTATACCCTCCCCCAAAGACTGAATTTTTAAAAAAATAAAAGAATCTTATCTTTTATAGTACAGATACTTAAGGACATTTCTGTTATTCAAGTATACATACTTTGAAAGTTAGTTAAGATATTTCTGGCAGAAAAAATCCTGTTCATGACAATTTGCATACTTATCAGCTTCCATTAACTACTTATTAGTGTTGAACTCATGTTCTTCTATTATCATTTTTGTAATTTAACAAATGATAATAGGCTTGAATTTTATAGTGTTTTGCAATTTCTAACATTACTAAGGCTAAAGTCTCTTCACCCAGAGATACCTGTAAATTCAGGTGTTTTCTTTTGTTTCATGAGGCAGAGGTTATTGGGGTTTTTTATTTATATTTGGAGGAGGTACTGGGGATTAGAACCCAGGACCTTGTGCATGCTAAACAGGCACACTACTACTTGAGCTATATGTGCCTCTCCAGGTGTAGTTTTCTCTTAAATCTGTTGTTCTCAAACTTTAGCATGCTGTGACTCATCTGAAGGGCCCCACCCCCAGGGTTTCGGAGTCCTAACGAGTCTGCACATGGTGCTCCTGCTGCTGGTGGTCCTGGAACCACATTTTGCAAACTACAATCTTAAGCCACCAAACTCAACTACTGTCTCCGTTATTATTTACTGTTCAAGCTATAACTCTGTATTTACCCCTCTATTATTTTTGCACTAAATTATTATTGATAAGGATCATTAGAAATATTACTATGAGATAACTCTTCTTGGGGAAAAATAGTAATTTTTAAACTACGAATTTTCCAGCTTCAGTCACTTATTACTGATGTATTCCATGATGAAGAATTTCGGAAAATAAAAGAATATTTTCGACAGAGAGAGCGCCACGTTCCTCAAAAATATAATCATCTTTTACTACACCATCTTGACAGGTTAATAAGTAAGGCAAGTAGGTTTTGTTTTGTAACCAGAAAACTGAAGGGTAATCATATGTAAGGTTTTAAACTTCGTGTGGCCTAATTCCTAGGAACTGGATAAAAATGAATTTCAGCATGTTTCACTCTTGCTGAAATGTATTCAGCGATTCTTCATTGATGGCCTCAAAGAAGATGAGCCTTTGCTAATTCAGCAAGGACTGATCCCAAAGATAAGTGTCCCATTTTAGTTTTGTGTACATTTGGGTACCCTAAAGAACTAGAGTGGATTGAGTTGCCTGGTTTGGTATTTTCTGTTCCTGTGAAATAAAGTTGGAAAAGGAATTGGTACTGATGCTGACTGCCTATATCCAATCAAAAACTAAGTTTGACATATGTTTCCCGGTGTATGGGGTTGGGTGGGCTGAGCACGTGGGGAGTGTACAGGAATGAGTCAGATACAGCCCAGAATCTCTCCTGGACAAGCCAGTGCAGTAATAGCATCATTTTATTATTTTAGTGTTTAACTAGGAAATGCAGGATGAGGAGAGTGGACTATTATTACACACCGTTCCCCCCAAACTAACTATTTTAATAGTTTATTAACGAGACAGGACATACTTCCCCTTGCCACAGCCCACTTCTCCAGCTTTCTAAAATCCTGGTTGAATGTGAAAAAGCAAATGGCAAAATTTTTTTTTTTGCTTATTCTAAGTCAACCCAGTTATGCAAATCTATTCTGGTGTTTTTTTTTTTTTTTTTAAATCAGAAGGTAACATGATGTGTGCCTTTAGGATGGCACCTGGAAGCAAAGTGGAGTTTGCAAAATCTCTTAACTGCAGTTCTCTTTTTTCCATAACATTTTCAGCCCTGAGATTATTTATTGGTGAGAACAGGAGGGTAGGTAGAGGGGCAGAAGGGTGATCTGGCTGGTAATAAAATCTTTGATTTACCCCCTGGACTCTAGTACTTGAAATTTATCAAGACCAGGCTGAACTTACTTACAAAACAGAAACAGACTCACATAGACAACAAACTTAGGGTTCCCAGGGGGGAAAAGGCGTGGGGAGGGATAAATTAGGAGTTTAGGATTTGCAGGTGCTAGCTACTATAAATAAAACAGATAAACAACAAGGTTCTATAGAGTACAGGGAACAGTATTCAATATCTTGAAATAATCTATATTGAAAAAGAATATGAAAAGGAATATGTATATGTGTAACTGAATCACTATGCTGTACACCAAAAACTAATACCGTGTTGTAAATCGACTATACTTCAATTAGAAAAAAAAAATCAGTTGGGCCAAGGAGATCTGTCTCTGCCCCCTTTTTTTTTTTTTTTTAAACTGTAAAATGCCTCTAATCATGGGGCTTCCCCTCCAGAGGAGAGAACGTAAACTCCAGGCTTTCCTAATCCTTCTCAGGGACTTTAAAAGGGTTTGCAGCCAGGGGAGTTGGGGGGTGGGGGGAGTGGAAATCCAAGGGCTGTACTTATGCAGACTGTGTATATTTCATTTTGTTTAGCTCCATCTAGCTCTCTGATAGACTTACCCATGCAGATAACAGGACACAGGGAAAAAGAGCTAAAATTCTAAAAACTCTGAAGGAAATGGAGCAGGGATGTCCCAGGGGTACCTTGGAAGTTCACGCTGATTTGAGGGGGTGTTAATTGGGATCTTCTCCAAAATGAATTTCCTGTTTTGACTTGAGTGCCCTCCAAGGCTTAAAGTGTCAGATCAAGTCTCTACAGGCATTTTGATATCAAATAGGAATTTCCACACTCCATTGGAATTCTAGTTGGTGATGGAGATGCCATAACCATAATTTAGGCACATTCTAAAGCATATACTATTATTTCATGGTGGTTTTGGCCAAGGAGAATAGATCGGTATTATTAAAGTGGATGGGATACTAGATTTTATATTTCTGAAGCCCACTGTGTTTGCAGGCTCAGCAGAAAGTGTGCTGGGAAGCTATTCTCCATAGAATAAGAATTTCCAACAGAAGGGAACATATTTGGCCCTGTACTTGAAGATCCAGGAGGATTAAGTAGCTTGTCCTTTACCAAAGGCTTAATGAGTCGTAGCTCTTGCATCCATAAATAATGGTTTCATCTGGCTTCTGGTAGTGGGGCAGCTGTGGGCGCAGCCGGTGTCTGGTAGACCATGTCTGGTCATGGTACGTAGATGGGTTCAGAGTAACCTCCTAGTCCAAGTCATGATCAAATAATGTGGCATTTCCCCGCCAAATCTATACTCAATCCATGTATTTTGAGGGGCTGAGAAGAGGACAGGATTTAGGGGGATAAATAGAATAATGACAAAAATGTATTTGAGAGCATAGAATTTTGAGCATGGATGGAGGAAGGGAGAAAATACCGCTTTAGCATTGAGTTCTACCATGTAGAGGGACATTTCTTCTCTTGGGCTGTTGGAGAAAAGTTTGCTTCAGGAGGTGGAGGACTTAGTCTAATGTAAATATCTGTGTAATTTGAGATAAACATCACCTGGGAAAAATCAGTGACTTTCAAACCTTGCTGTAGCTTAGAATCACCTGGAGAGCTTGAGCAAGAAGCACCGCGTGGGTCCCATCATGAGAAGTTCTGATTTACTGGGTTGGCAGTGAGTCCCAGTATCGGGGCATTTCAGAGCTCTCCAGGTTTTCCTAATGTGCAGCGAAGAATGAGGATTAGTGGGTTTCTCCGTGGTTTTCAGCGGGTACCTTGGGTTCTTGGCCAAGTGGACAAAGTTCCCAAGGCCTCGCTTCTATGAGAATCATTCATCACAAACTCAGGCTACTAACTCCTTGTTCAACTGGTGATTTCTAGCTGTGCATGCAGGATTTCATCTTTCTTCTTTCCTTTCTTTCATCTCAGCAAAAATGGTCCAAAGATGGCCTTCACTTAATTGAATAAATATGTTCTAGAAGGTTTATATAAATTTATTTTAATTCATGCCAATTCTAGCAAACATACTATGAACTTGGGTATTTGTTCCAACAGAAAAGAAATCTCCAATTAGCTGGAGCTTTCGGCCGAAGAAAGGTGGCCAGGCCTGAGGTGTACTGCTCCAGCATGCTTTTGGAGCACTTTTCATGCTTTTGGGGCAGTTTTCAAAATCTGCATGTCCTTTGTTATTTAACGGCTTGTTTTCTGCAGCCTCTGAGACAACAGGAATTTCTCCTGTGTGGAGAGGCTCATTTATCCCTTAACCTCTTAGGAACCTCTTTATATGGGTCTCTGGTGTTGACCGTCTTGGCCAGGCCTCCAGTGCTCCTTGGTGTCTGAGAACTGACTGCAACTCTGTAGCAGTCTGGTTCCATTCTGGAGTGTTCTAGGTGGCATTCTCAGAGCCAGGGCGAACTGAAATGGCAGGGAATGGGAAAAGGTCTTGAAAGTTATTTTGCCCTAGTGAAGGAATTATCTTGTGAAATTTTTATCGAATGCATGGTAATTACTCAGCCAGGGAGATTTCATCAGTGTTTCTTCCCCTGTGTACATGGTTTCCTGGTTTGAAAGAACAGCGGGATTTCTGACCACGGCAGATCTAGCCTCGGACACATCCCTGATTAACCTGACGACACACTTCTTTGACACAGCCTTGGTAAGGAGGGGGGCGGAGGCGGCACTGAGCAGACACCGTTGGTAATTTGTAGGAATCTTCAAGTTATTTATAAAACTTGTGTTTGGTTTTACTAAAAGATATGGGTTTTACTAAAGGACTACCATATTTTATTATTAGAATATTATATGAGATAGTAAACAAACATTAATATATATTACAAATATGGGAAAATGAGGTGATTTATTTTCAGATATGTGATTCACCTGATTGAGGGTGATACACTGATTTTAATAAAGTGATGGACAGTCAAACAGACGTTCTCTGAATTTTTTTTTTTACTGTAGTTAACTTTAACCTCTGCCTGTTAGAGAAGTATCAACATCAATATATTAATGTTGTACTTTATAATGTTGTATTTATCATGCTTTTTAAAAATAATACGAGCTTTACTTTTTCTTTCTTTTTATTAGATTATTTCCAGAACAAGTAGTAAAGGTAAGTGTATTATTTACTACTAATTGGCTGTTTACTTTTCATTAATAGAATATTCTTGTTCAGAGAGAAGAATATTTCTCTAAATGGTATATAAAGGTGAAGTGGACTTAACTGCTTTATTTAGATTTATTGATGATCTACGGTAGTCAAATTGAGATGCTGAGATGAATTTTGTTGTAGAGGATAACTCATTTGCCTGCAGGGCACCTCTGTTTAGCTGCTCCAGTCACCCTTTGGCCATTTAGCTCCATCCAGGGATGGAGAGTCACTTTTGTCATTCAGACCAGTGAAAATTAGCTATTTCTGATTTAACTTGGAGCCAATTCCGATGCCTTTCTGTCTTTCAACAGTGCAAAAGGTAGATAATTGGGAGGTTAGAGCAATGATTTTGTTCAATTTAGCTCATGTTAAAGGTAATCCAACATTGTGAATTATGAAACCATGGATTCAAAGATGCAGAGAAACTGGGGCCATCTTAAATGCACATGTCCCCTCCCTACTGCCCATCTTCTTATTTTTCTTTTGAAAAGTTGTTATTAAACTGACACTGCATTCTACAGTGAATGGTATCTTATAAATAAAGGATATGTAAGTTTCTAAAACTGAATTTTTTCTTAAGTATGCACAGTGCTTGTTTGACTTTAAAAAGAGGTCCCAATAATCTAAGTCGGGGGATCTTAATAGTTTCTTTTTCTAAAATTTTAAATTATTTATTAGTGTATTATTTTAATTTTTTTTGTTTGTTTTTGGCTGGCAGGGCGGTGGGGGGAAGGTAATTAGGTTTATTTATTTTCAGAGGGGGTACTAAGGATCGAACCTAGGGCCTCCTGCATGCTCAGCATGCATTCTACCACTTGAGCTATACCCTCCCCTCCCTGAATAGTTTGAAGTCAGTTTTTTTCTGAACTTCAAAAGTGAGAGTTACTGTCTCTAAAACTGGCCGATAAACTACATAGTGGTAAAAGCTACTTTGAATTTTGGAACATTTAAAAATAAACTATCACAATAAAGGTGTGAAAGAAAAAAAATTTTTTTAAAAGCTTGTCTTTTGTTGATTACAACAATGTGTATACACACAGCATATTTTTTCAAAAATATGTATGAGAGAGTTCTATTCGGTCTATTGTTGTTGTTTGGACCACTTAATAGGTTTATATAATCCTTGCAGTCACTCCGAGGCCCCGGGTGGAGGAAACGCCGCTCTGGGTGACTGCATCAGTTAGCCCCAGCGGCCGTAACAAAATCCTGCGGGCGGAGGGGCTTAATCAACAGAAATTTATCCCGGCTTGTAGACAGCCCCCTTCTTGCTGTGTCCTCACAGGGCAGAGAGCAAGCCAACTCTCTGGCATCCTGTCCTAATCCCGTGATGAGGACCCCAGCCTCAGGCCTCATCTAAGTTGAATGACCTCCCAAAGGAGCCCGTCTCAAACACCATTGCCTCCAGGGTTGGGCTTCAACATATTAATTTTGGGGGAAGCAGTTCAGTCCGTAGCAATAGCAGATTGTGCTTGGAGCCCACTCTGGCCAGTTCAGGGGGTGCCGATCTCTCTGCAAGGGTCGGACTTTCACGTGTCACTTTGTACGCGGCCGGCGGGTAGTGTCCAGGCTCTACAGAGCCGATGTCTGATCTCACTCTCTGTGAAGTACAAAGATGTTTTCAGTGACCACCTTCTCACCTCCTCACCTCCTCCTGCCATTGATAGAATTATTCCTTCCTTTTTGTTCCAAGATACATTTTATTGTATGCATTTTTTTAACATTTTTTACTGATTTATAATCATTTTACAATGTTGTGTCAAATTCCAGTGTT